TTCTGCCTGGCGCTGGGAGATCCCGAGATGAAAGGGGCTCTGGCGTCACTGAGATGGTTTTATGTCCATGAATGCAGGTGTGTGTGTGTGTGTGTGTGTGTGTACATGGGGGGTGGGGCTCGCATGGCCTCTCCTTTGGGGAAGGAGGTCCATTTTTATGCAGCCTGCCCTCCTCCTTAGACTGGCCCCGGTACCATTTGGATTTTGGTGGGGGCAAACCCAGGAGGAAATATCACCACTGTGGAGTGAGAGTCGAGGAGGTGGGGCAAGACTTGCCCCCTCACCAAGGGGACCAGATTGTTGAGGAAATACCTGATGACGGTGAATATAAAGCCTATATTGGAAGAGGGTGACATTTGAAAGAGGAGGCAGTGGATCTGGTAATAACGTTAAAAAGGAGAGGGAAAGGGAGGTAATAGCGAGTAAACCTTCCAAAAGGATTAAAAACGTGGGATGATTGAGGTAAAAAGGACCTCAGGGGTCACTTGCCTAACCCTCACATTTTAAGGTTGAGGAAGCTCTGTCCCCGAGAGCGGTGGTGATTTGCTCAAGGTCACACAGTGAGTTACTGGCAGAGAAGGGCCCCGAACTCAGATAAATTCTAAAGCTCCTTAGGGTCTGGTATTTAGACTTTCTCGCCAACTTATAAGGTGCAGGCGGCCCATCGATACTCCCTTCTCCATCCCCCTGGTGCAAACCCCAAAACCTCCGATTCTTCCAGCAAGCCAAGGCTATTTTTTAAAATATGTCACCGAGCACCACTCCCGCCGGCGGCGCCTGGAGTGGGGCGGGCGAGCGCGAGCGGGGCGGGGGCAGAGGCGGCCGAGGGGCGGCCGGGCGGCTGGCCGGGGTCCCGGGGCGCGGCGGGGGGCGGGGGCCGGCGGCGGCGGCGGCGGCGTAGAGGCGGCCTGCAGGGAGCAGCCGCGAGCCGGCCGGGCGCGCCGAGCCCGAGCCCCAGCCGGAGCGGGGCGGGGGAGGGAGGAGCCAAGAGCGGCCGCCGCCTCTGCCGGAGGAGCCGCGGGGCCGCCACACTCGCCCCCCGCCCCCCCCCCGCGCTCGCTCGCACTCACACCCGGGCGCTGGAGGCGGGCGGCCCGGGCCCCACCGGCCCCCCATGGACGCCCCCGGCACGGGGCGCTGAGACCCCCGCGTCGCTGCCCAGCCCTGTCCAGCGCGCCACGCCGAGGTAAGGGGGAGGGAGCGAGGGGGCATTAATATGCAAATGCCTCGCGATTGATTATGCAAAGCCGTGGGGCTCTAGGGCCAGCTCCCTGGCGGGCTGGGGGCGCCCGGGGGTACCCGCTGCCAGCCTCAGCTTTCCCCGGCGCCCCGGTCACCCTGTCACAGTCCGGGAGCTCGCAACTTACGCCCTGGGGAAGGGAGGTGTTGCTGGGAGGTCGGTGGGCCCCGGGGTTCGCCGGCAGAGATGGCGTCCAGGCCTCCCCCTCGAGGGCCCGCCCGGCCTCTGTCCGGCCCGTCTGCTGCGCACTCCCGGGCCCGGCCCCGCTGCCGGCCGCCGGAGCTCCCCCGCCCGCCGCGGTTTGTTTACGGTGCGCCGGAGGCCTGCCCCCCCCCCGCCCCCACCCCTAGCCTCCGAGGCTGAGGCTGAGGCCGAGGCCGAGGCCGAGTGGCCTTTGCAAAGCCGCCTCCAGCTGCGGAGGGCTGTATGAGTGGAGTGGGGGGTGGGCTTGCACAGGCCCCGGGAGCGGGAAGTCTCCCCCCGACCACCATTCCACCCGCCTCCCCAATTGAGCATGGCTCTCTGGTTGCAACACTCCTAATTGCAAAAACGCAGCTTGGAGGAGAGGGAGTGTGTGTGTGTAGCGGGGAGTGTATGTGAGGGTCCCTAGATGATCTGGAGAGTTGCAAGCTAGTGCGGTTGGGGAAGAGAGGGAGGAAGGGACCTGTGTGGTGTGCCCCCCCCCACCCTTGTTTCCCTCCTCTTGCAACGTGTCTCTGTTGCCCCTTCTGTGCCTGGGGCCCTCCCTTGTCCGGTGTGAAAGAAAGGCCTGGGGCCGGGGGCAGGGATGATAGGGCCAATGGAGAGAGCCACACTTTACAGGGTGGAGGTCGCAGAAGAAAAGCCAGTGGGATAGGAGCCTGCCCCTCAATGCTGGCTCTGGCCCCAGGAAGGGGAAGGGATGAAGGGGGCTGTTGTCCCCGACGAGGGACGGGAAGCAAATGTGACATGCAGACACAGAGATATGCCCACACAGACAGCCACATGCATGCACACCCAGGGACACCCAGGCAGACTCAAGGACAGGAGCTGCTGGACACACCCACATGGGGACAAGGGAAGAGGCAGGCTGCCGCTGCACCGGGGAGCTCAAAGGGGTGGGACACACCCACGGGAGACCAAGAGCAAGGAGACCGATCCATGCACATACCCACGCACAGGGTCACAGGGAGATGCTGTCACACACAGGGGCAAGGAGGAGTCGCTGTCACCCACACAGAAAAAGTCACTATCATCGAACGCATGCATGAACACAGAGCAATTGCACACAGCCGCACATTACAAAAGACCCTGTCACTCACAGGCACACACGTGCTAGCATGAGCCCAGTCACACAGGCATCATTCCCTGCCTTGACAGTGACTGTCACTCAGTCAAACGCAAACGCAGTTACACATCAACACATGTATACACAACTTAGCAACAAGTATTTTCCTGGAGTCTTACTGTGGATCTCTAAGGTTCTGTGTACAACAAAACCTCTACTCCAAGGAAAAGCAAATTCGTCTCTGTGAAAAGACTTCCCTGCATAATGGTGCAAGACATGCATTCATGATAATATTCTCAGTCTCTGTCGCTTGTCATCTCCCCCCTCCCCCTGCCCCACTCAATGGTGAGCTCCTTGAGACCTGGGAGAATCACTCCAAGAGCTCTGGATCCCACCCAGAGCCTAGCACAGGAAGTGCTCTGTAAATACTTGTTAATTGATTGCCTGGGAACTCCAGACACAGGTGTACTCATTTGCACACAGTCCCAGGGACTCAGGTGCAGAAGGCATTCACAAGGCTCGGGTCCACACAGTCACAGGTCCACGTGGACAGCTGTGTCCAGACACCCCCAGACATGCACACTGTAGCTGTGCAGTCAGGCGCACCCCTAGATGCACACACAGTTGTAGATTTTTTTCCCTCAAGCTTCCTCCTGTCTTCCTCTAGGCTCAGCTTTTTTTTTTTTTTTTTTTTTTGAGGGACAGAGAAACAAGAGCAAAGAGAGCAGGGGCAGGGGGGTTCCAGAGGGCCGAGTCATGGGGCTGAAACAATGTCCAATGACTTCCAGCAGCTGAGATTATCCTAGCTGCTGTGGGGGGGGGGAGGAGTTGGGGAGAGCCAGCTCCTAGGGAGCGGTCCCTCTCTCTACCTTGAAAGCAAACGCGGGATCTAGCTGCTCCTGCCAGGGTCGTTTGTCTGAGCCTTTCCTGGGGCCTTTGACTTGCCCCCGCCCCCTCCCAGAGGAGTTCCTGTCTTCCACCATGAATCTGGCCCCTTGTCCCACCTCTGCCCTCCTGTCTAAACTTGGAAGCCTTCCTTAGGAGGCCGTATGCTGGTGAGTGTCTGGGTGAGTGATGTGTATTTTTGACTTGGAATTTCTCTGTAACGCTGTCTCCCTTTTGCTCTGTCTTGCTGTGTCTGATTCTCCCTCTCCTCGTTTATCTGACAGTCTGGAACTCTCACCCGGGTTGCCGTCCCTGTCTACCCCTGCTCTTGTCTCTGCCACAGCCTCCTTTCTCAGAGCTGGGAACTGGCAATGATGAGCTTCATACTTTTCCAGTTGTTAAGACTCAAACCCCGCCCCTCGCCCGCCTGCCCTGCCTCTGGGGTCAGCAAGAGGTTGGGGTGGGGGGGGTTGGGGGGCTCAGCTGGCTGCTCAGGACATCCTGCGCTTCCTCAGCGTTGCAGCTGCAGCAGCAAGTTTTGGGGGCTGAGAGTGGGGGGAAGGGACGGGGGTCAGCTAGAGCTCACGCTGACCTCTTAGGCTGGCACGCTCAGGCAGGGCACACCAGCTGGGTGGAAGCCCCGGGTCTGCGGGCTACAGCCCGCTAGCTGCTAAGTGAGCCAGCCAGGAGGCTCCCCACCACACTGACCCACTGGAAAATTGTCACCCCCATGGGCAGTGGCGGGAGTTGGCAGGGCCCGACTGAGCAGGGTCAGTGGCACTGCTCACAATGCCTTTCTCCACACCCCTGGCAGCTGAGATCCACCTCGGAGATGCCCAACAGCTGTGCTCTGTGCCCAGCCTCAGAGCTTGGTTCTGAAGGTACAGCTGCCCAGATTAGGTGGGGGGCTGAGTGAGGCCCTGTCTCATGAATGTAGGCTCCAGCCTGGAGTGGGAATTTGAGCCAGGGGGTAGTGGGGCAGGGGCCCCAGAGCCCAGGGGGGCACCAAGCATTTCTGGCCATGCTCCCCTCCAGCCATGACCTATTTGGATGGGGAGACACTGGTAGTGATTCTACCCTAGATAATCCATAGGCTGCTACAGAAGGGGAAATCGAGGCTCAGTCACAGGGGAGAGAGACATAGCTGGATCAAAGAACAAGGTATGGTTCCTTTAGCGGATAGTAGACTCTCATGGGTAAGAGGAGGGATTTTTTTTTTCTTTCTTTCTTTTTTTGGAGCTGGAGTGCCTGGGTTTGAATCCCAGCTCTGCCACTTGCTGGTTGTATAACCTTGGGCAATCAATTTAACCTCTCCCATGCCTTGTCGATAAATTGAGGATGAGAATACCTATCTCATTCAGTTTTTTGAGGATTCGAGGAGCTAGAATATATAAAATGCTTTTAAAAGTGCCTGGTGCATAAGAAGCACCGTATGTGTTAGCTCTTACAATGAGGAAGCCTGTGGGTCTGGGGTCCCCTGGATTTCTTGGAGAAGCTGGGTGAAGAAGTGGATCTCCAGATGTTACAGGAATGGGCTGGGGGTTGGGGAGGACAGTGGGTCCCTAAGCTCCAGCCTCCTCACCCTTGCTGTCACATCTCTCTCCCCACAAGTTTTTGCAGTCAGAAGCCCCTCTGCCTCTTGCATGGAGAGTGTACGGTACCCTACCTGTCCACTAGGGATGCAGCATCCCAGCCACCTACCAGTCACCCAGGACCCAGTGCTGGCTGGTAGATACCCGATTCCCCATACCTGCACCAAGGGGGCATTAGTGTGAAGAGTAAGGACCAGTGGGTGGGTGTGGCACCTTGAGGGCCAGAGCCTGTCCTGGGTTGCCTCTCTTCCCCTGTGAGTCCGGTGATAAGACTTCTCTCTCCCCCAAATCCCTTTTCATCAGCCCCTCCCCTTCAAAATGCAGCAAGGACAGTGGAGGACAGTGGTGGGCCACTGGGGAGCCTCTGGGGTGGGAAGCGAATCTTAACTCAAGTTCTCACGGTTGCAAAGGGGACTTGTGCCTCTTGGGGAGGGAGGCAAGTATGCCTATATTGGAAAGAGCGCTGGCTGGGAGCTGGAGGCTGGGTTTGTGCCATTCACTGGTTGCTGACTTTGGCCTGGATTTTCCTCATCTGGAGACAATGATGCCCACCTCACTCCCACTGGAGGGTAAATAACATAATGTGGCCTGACACCTGTGTTCAATCTGGGTCGCATCCTGGCTTCATAAGCAATGCCTGTGGATTCTCCTGTTCTGGGGGCTGGCATGCTCCAGGGTGGGGATCCACATGCCCCCCCTGGAACCAGAGACAGTTCCCAATCTCTCACACAGGCATCTGGGGCTGGTGTGTGCTGATGGGGGGGGGCGCGTCATATGGTTTTCAGGCATAGGGGGTGTTGTCTGCCCTCCTCCCTGGCAGGCCAAGGTCGGGGTAACAAAGGGGACCTCCTTCTAGTATGCCTTTGTATGAGGTGGTCCAGAGGGAGGGGTCAGAAGTTCTCTGGGTACACAAGGAAAGCAAGGTGGAACTTACCTGGTGCCCAGGAAATGCTATCCTTGCTCCCCTGCTCTGAGGATGAGCACTTAGTCTGGGGACTAGGGACTGGGGTTAAAGGTTAGGGCCAAAGGCATAGCCTCGCCCCCCCTCCCCGCCCCCCAGCAGTGGCAAAGAGCAGCCCCAGCCCACCTCCCCTTCTTCCTCCTGTCTTCCTCTTGTAAGGAAGAGACGAGTTCTTGGCTCCGAGAGCCTGAGCTGTCTGTTTCATTTTCTCTTTTACCCGGGCGCGTGGGCGGGGGAAAGG